TTTATTCCATGAAGCAACATAAAAAAAATGTAGAAAATTTCAATGCTTAATATATATTCGAATCATAATTGAAGTTAAAAAAATCGAAACTATCATACCTGATAAATTCCGTCGTGTTAAATAGATATTGCAATGGTTTAAGAATTATTTGAAAAGAATTCAGAATTATAGAGATTGTTCAGCTCAGAATCTTGGAACTGTTTGTAACATAACCGCGAAATTCATGCGAATAGAATTCCTTATCGCGGCTTCGATTTCAGGGACATTCTTCAAGATGAACGAAAATGAAAGTATGTCTTACTCAATAACAAACGGGACGAAACACATGTATGACCTTCGTCATTATATGGAAGAATTGAATTTCGTTTCGGAAAATGATTAGATCTCCTTTCATTCCTTTTTTCCTATTTGAATTTTTTTTTTCCTCTAGTTATTTCCTAGTCATATCATTATATAAAATATAGAAAAGAATAAAAAAAAAAATGTGCTTTAAAATTTTATTGTTTCGTAGAAAGCGCGAGTTATTTGTCACGTTTATTAAATTTATTTATACGATACTTAATATTTCGCGTCTAATTGTATTTAATTGAGCGTATTCATAATTGTGCGTAAATCCGTTTGTGTCGTAATCTTTTTATTTCTTTGACGTTGTTATGCACGCATTGAACGTAATCTGTAAATTGAAGGTTTTCTATGTTGATTCTCTATTATGAAAGTAACTCGCTAGAAAATAATGAAACTCTTACCGCAATTAAGCGAGAAGGAAATGTATGAAGGAAATGAGTGAATTTCCGTAGTCGCATATGAGAATTTATATTTACACGAATGTTATAAATTGCCGCATTTTCTTTCTTATTTTTATGCATATATCTGCTTCTATAGCCTAAGTAATGCTAATTCTTGATTATCTGGTGGTTATATCTAAAATAAATGTAAGTTGTGTTATTAAAAAGTAAAAGTAATAATAGAGAAGAATAAAAGTATGTGAATATGTGATAGCTTATTACCTAAAAAAAAATTTTCATTTCTTTAACTTGATCGTATCGTATTAAGGTTATATAATATCATTAAATATTTTCAAAATAATAATAATATTTTTCAATTTAGAAATTATTCAATTATTTTAGTTAAGTTTTATATAAATAATAATTCCATTATATTAAATAAATATATAATAATAAATATTAAGGAAACGTTTTTTTTAAACGTGAACTTGATGTTTTCTATGTTATATACTCTTCCTCTTTCTCTTAATATGTATAGAATAGTTCACTTTCTTCCAGTTGGTATGAGAGCGAGATAGATAGATAAATTTTTCTGTCTAACTATTTACAATAGTTGTAAATATTTTCTATTTCCATTTACGCATTTCTAATATCTAGTATCTGATATCTTCAAAATATACAGAATATATTTTATACATTTATTATTATATTTTATTATCAAATTTATTTTTTTTTTACATACATATTCAAACAATAATCATTTTTGATTATATGATTCTAATCCATTGTACTACTTTGAATGATGTGCTCTATCAATTGATTTTATTACATATTTACATTACATATAATTAATAATTTTAATAAATTTTTATAATAAATAAATTTTAATAAATTATAATAAATTTATAATAAATTTTTTAATTATATTTTAATCTATTTTTCAAAATGTTAAATATTTATATTTAAAATTTAAATATATTTTTGTTATTTTAATTGATTATTATACATTACCAAGATAAAAAAGATATTTACAAATCATTTTTTCATCTTTTATAATATTCTAACCAATTTAAACATATTTATGGATATCTAATGTGTGCGTGACGAGTTTCGGTCAATAACGCAAGTGTTTAAGAGATTATTTCCACTTTCATATAGGGGAAATATACGGATACGAACCATTGAAGGAAGCTGTTGGCATCAGGGAAGGATGTCGAGATGAGAGAAAGTCTGTTCGTTGAACAAGTCGCTCTCTGTTTTTTTTCTCTTTGAATCCTGGCGACTATGCATCCGCATATTATTACTGTTACATAATGCGCAGACGCATAATCGAGAAACGAAGAATCGATAATCGATTATCCAAATATGGATAGTGCAATATTTTAATCTATTTATTTATATTTCTCTTCTGAACTAAAATTGAATTTTAATATTAAGTATTTGAATTAATTATTATTGTTTTGATTATTTTATATATTTGTTATGTCATTATTTTGAATGAAAAATATTTCAGATAAATGATTTCAAAGGAAGAATATTCTGATGTTATTTGTTTTCATAGATGAGGAGATATGTATAAAATTGGATAATTTTTTTATTATAGTTTTTTTCGCTATTAAAAAATAATATACGAAGAAATAGAAATAAAATATTTTTTATATTGTATAGTATTTATGAGTATTTCGAATCATACATTAAATATTATTTAAAGCGACATCTGCGACATATATTTACTGTACCGTATAATCGAAAGCCATTAAAGTTGCGATTTGTCAGTGATCAGAATGTTTTAATAACAAACACGTGCAACGTTGCATGTCGTGACTTAATGTCTGCTTTCTACGGCTCTTTTCTTACGTATTCACTTTTTTGTCCCTAATAAAATCGGTTTTGGGGTTACGTGATCCACAAACGAAACGAAATCTGGCCACGTAAATATTTCTCCAAGAAGGAATTAGGCAATAGGTACCTAATTCCTCAACACACTCGTGCTGCCCTTGTCCCCTTTTTAGAACAACGCTTGCGCCATGAGAGATGAGCGTATGATTCGCATAATTGAATAGATACGGATTAAGAATCGACACTTTGATGTAATATTCACTATGTATAACAGGTTTGACTGAAAATGGTCCGCTCTTATGTGACATTTATGCTTATCATACATCTATGTTTAAATGCAAGCTTTGTGATCACATTTTCTGTATTCGAAATGATTGCTCAAAACCTTGTTGAGAATTCCTCTTGGTGATGAACTGTTTCGAATTCAACTGTTTCAATGTTATAGATTTTTCGTGACGTGTTTAACAAACATGTTTGTATTTATGAGAGAAAATAAGAGATATATTAAAAGATATAGTGTATAGTGTAGACGATAGGGTGCCTGTATTATAAAATAAAGATAGAAATTTTCGTTTAAGAAAAATATCGATCGAAATTGAATAAATTTCGATATATTCATCGATAAATCTATTTTGTTATTCTTAATTCGATATATTCATCGATAAATCTATTTTATTATTCTTAAATCAAAGTGAAAATCAAAGTATGTTTTTTTCATATTTTTTAATTTGTAATCAATTTATAATGAAAATTATTTATTTTGCAATAGGATGTGCGTGGATCAAACCGCGGATGCGAATCGGCAATTAAGGTCGATACAACTGGAGATGGAAAATCTTCAACGACAATTGCAAACTGTTTCGTACGATCGAGATAATGCTATCCAGGAAAATCGACGAACTCAGGACGATTTAGCTGCGGCTACTAGTGAAGTAAGAAATCTGCAGCGCGAATTAGAAACATCTCGTGGCGAGTCGTTTGATCTGAAGAGACAGCTTCAGACTTACGTTAGCGAGGTCCGCAGAGCTGAAGAACTTCTTAATAGAAAGGTGATTTTATTGAAATTATAAAAATATATATATTATTGTAATATCTTTAAAATTTTAATATTTTTTTTTTTTTTTTTACTTTACAGGAAAATGAAAGATCAGAAATGTTGAATCACTTTAGAAGTTTAAGTTTAGAGGCGACTGTTTTGGAAAATAATAATCATAGTTTAGAATCTGAAGCAGCTGAGGCGAGAGGAGCGCTTAAATCCGCCAGGGATAGATTATTGGATTTAGAACGACAATTGGCGGATAAAGATAGCTTGATAAGAGGCTATGAAACTCAGGTTAATGATTTTTTAATAATTTTTTCATAATAATGATATTTTTCTAATATATAACGGAGAAAACATAAAAGTTTTGATATAAAAGAAAGTAATATGAACATTTTTAGATTAGTGAATTAACTCAAAATGTGGCAAGTTTAGAAACACAGTTACGTCAGCAGGGAGAACAAAAGCATAGAGCAGAAGCTGATTTAACTGCTGTTAGAGATCTATGCATGAAATTGGATGAACAAAAAGACACACTTATGGCACAGTTAGACGATAAAGATTCGCTTAAAACACAAGTAAAAAACATTTATATTATTTTTTTAATTAGAATAAAATTTAAAGAAAAAAAAAAACTTGATTTAAGATTAATAAATAATTATACATTATTTACAAGTGAATTGATAAAATGTAAAGAATAGGTTTTTTTATTTTGTATTTGATTTTTAGTATGATATGCAAATTGCTAAATTAAAAGCGGAACAAGCTGTCATTCAAGATCAGATGACTAAAGATCGTGCGACAGTAGAACGCCTTGAGATGTTATTGGATCAAGCAAGACAGGAATCTATAACTGCGCAAACTACTAATCAGGAGCTTCAAAATGAAATGTCTAGATTAAGACAAAAAATGTCTGAACTTCAAACTAAATTGTAAGAAATTTAATTATTAACTATTTATTAATTAAATATAATATGTTTAATTAAAAATAATATTAATGATAAATTTGATCATAATTTTTTTCTATTTAATTATAATAAGATAATAAGATATTTTTTTCTATTTAAAATTATAATGAGAAACATTCTATTTATTTATTTATATATTTATTTCTCTAAAATATTTTAATAAATATTTTCTTAATTTTAATAAATATTTAAAATATTATAAACTATTGATAATTCATATAATAATATCAATAATTAACTAAAATTTTTTTTTTAATATTGTAGGTCTTCAGAATCAACAAAACTTCGACAATATCAAACTCAAGCTGCAGAGTATTCTAAACAAATTAGTGAACTTCGTAGACAAGTTACAAATGAAAGATTTGATCGCGCGAGAAAAGAAGAAGAAAATCGTAGGTATGTATGCACATTATTTACGATTCAGATAAGTAAAATCTTAATTAATAGAAGCTGGAAATAGCAATATTGTTTTCGATTATATTTTTTTTAGACCTTGTGAAGAAACTCTTGATCCATCTGTCCAAGTTCCATGTCCAAAATCTTACTTTCCTATTGAAACAAATGAAACAAAACACAGGTAGAAAAATATTTAATTAAATAATAGCAGTTTTAACTGTAGAGGTGGATTTTCATTATTACTTAAAAAAATTTTTTTATTTATATTTTTTAATATAAATGAATATTTTGATAGCTTGATAATTTTATAGTTAATAAAAAATATTTATTATCTATATTAAAAAAATCATAATATAATTTTTGTAAATTTGCTAAATATATTTTTTATAATTTATATACTTTAAATATTTTATTAATTTCTATTATTTATTATTTCTAGTTTTTTTTCTAAATATATAATTAAAATATTAAAATTTTAATATCAAATAAATTGTTTTCCACCTCTGCATTAGTTTTTGAAATTCAAGTGATAAAAATAAAAAATTAAACTGCCAGGCAAGTAGACTGGCTGAAGAAACCTTACACCGCGATTCCCAAACAACCTCAAACAAATAGTGGTGCGCGATCGGTAATTGAGCGATATTCCTTTCCCTTGGATTGCAAGTGTTTGAAAAATGCCTTGCACGATCTATCGCCGAAAAAATCAGCATTTACACCTTATGTTTCAAATAATGAAGCAGACGTCTCAAAGCAGAATAATCCTTCTAAGAACTTTAACAAACCTTTGTGATCGTATAACTATTTGCATATGTTCTACATTAGACTTATCATCTATTTTAATAGCATATTTCTTTGCATAGAAATAAATGAATTTTAATTCAATGCTTTTGAGCTATTTAAAATATTTAATACCCGTGTTAACACTTATAATATTTTTATTCCTTAGGAATATTTAACTCATTGAAATTTTAATGGAATTTGAAAATATATTATAATTTTAAAGAATATAATAATATAATTAATAATAAAATAATAAATAAAGAATATAATAATAATAAATAAATATAAACTATTATTAAATATATAACCATTAAATTTATTCTTGCAAATTTCATTAAAATTATCAATATTATGATTAAATTATGTTCATAAGATCTTTGCATCCAATTAAATTTTTTTTTTTTATTTGCAGGTCTTTAAATTCGACACCAGACAGTTTTAACGTAGATTTAAATGTGGTTATATAAAATCATTTAACCTATCCTAATCAATAGATATTTGCAGAATGAAACAAGCAAAGAATACGATGGACTGGCTGAAAGAAGCAGAATGAAAATAATAAATCCCGTCACTATATCACACTCGGGATATTTAAATTTGCAAAACTACAGATGCAATGATCATACAAAACATATTCACTGTGATGTTCCTTGCATAAATATAATTTTACGTTCAGATTGTAAAATGCATTCCAGTCTGTATAGTTATCTACAAAAGGAAAATGCGCAACAAGAGATACAAAACGAGAATGCACCATTTTTTCAAATCAACGAAAATTCAATGAAAGTTGATTTTAAACCATTAAATACATCTCAGTTTAATTCGTTTAATGGAAAATATAATCATACTACTTTTAATACAGAAAATTGTTTTAATGTGTCGCAGTTAGTAGGAATGCAATATGAAAAAAAATATAATCAAGGTAACTTTTAATAATATTTCATAAATTTGACAATAATAGTCCACCGTTTCATATGATATCAAATAGTAATAAGCTTTGATCAAATTCAAAATAAATTTGTTTTCCAAAAATGAAACAATTTTAGGACAACCAGAAATATTGAATAAGGATAAAATAAAAACTTTAAATGCAGATAATGATATTGAAGCTAGATTAAAAGTAAATGAATTTGTTAAATATCATGCAGAATTTTGTAAGGAATTGTCCACAAAAAGTTTTCCTATTATAAAATTGGAAACTACAAAACAAATAAATGAAAATATTGAAGTTCCTAAAAAAAAAGATTCGTCATTGAATTTCGAGAAAACAACTACGAAAAATGAATCTGTAAAGTTCCTAAATGATTTAAAATTAACTACGGAAAATATAGAATCAAAACCTACAAATAAGTTATCTAATTTCCAATTTACAAGATTGGAAAATCTATTAAAACCTGTAACTTATACATCGTCTAAAAAACTTTTATATACGAATTATTTTAGAGACCCTTATGTTACTAGAAATTTACAAGAAAATAATCAAATTCAAAATACTATTTGTACTGATAAAGAAGAAAATATTTACAAAACAAACTGTAAAAAATACGAAACAGCCATAAATTATAAAAAGGATAAATTTTATGAAAGTACATTAGAAAATAAAAAATTTACAAATTTGCCATTTCAAAAAGAAAAGACCTATACTAATGTAAATTGTAACAAAATCAATTATTCTACGTTAAATATAAAACAAAATGAAATTGATAACAAAACTTCTAATACAAAATTTATGAGTCATACATTTTTGAAATCTACAAAAGATTTTGATCATAGTATATGTGAAAATAAATGTGTAAATACAATTGATAATACTTTAGATGTATTACAAAATATGCTAAAAGATGTTAAAAAATTCAAAAATAAAAATATGACACAATTTAATGATCAAAGTTATCAATTTAAAGAAATACAATCTAAAAAAAAGGATAATTATTGGAATGAAAATTTAACTTTTAATTCGTCAGAAATGAGATTGGAATTTATGCAAATGTTACAAGATATTAAGAAACATACAGAAACGTTAGAAGAACAATTAATTATTATGAACAAATGTAGAAGAGAAAAAAGAAAAATAAATGAAAAATTAATTTATACTTCAAAAAATTATAATCTTCAAGAAAAGAAAAATATAATTACACAATATCCTGAAAAAAAAAATATTTGTATACAAGATTCATATTCATATTGTGATTTGAAATGTCAATGTTCATTATTGAAACCGACAAATAGTTTTTATTCACAATATGAAAAACAAAATATAATTCTATTACATGGAAAAAAAATTGCAATAGATAAAAATGATAAAAAAAAAAACATTAATTTGCTAGAATGTCGTGATGATTGCATAAAAAAAGTAAAGGACATCCAAATTCAATGTGTAAAATCATTATCTTTTCATATTCTTGATTCAAAGTTTAAACTCGCAACTACACTTATATCTAAAAAAGATTATACATCAAAAAACAAGAAAAGTCTTAATTATGTATCCAGTTATATCCAAACAGATAATTCACAAGCAATGCAAGTTGAAAAAATTCCATTATCCAATAAATTAAAAAATTATTCAACAAAACAAAAAAATAAAACAATTGATCCAGTAAAAATAAATAAGAAATCAATATCTTTATGTTGTAATAAAAATGCTATTATATTATTAATTTTAAAAAAGATAAATAATAAATGTTTAAAGTGCAAATATAAAAAATCGAAGTTCTTGCATTTTAAACCAAAATGTAATATTAATTCGCATATTATGTACAATCAGAAAATGATTAAATATAGATTATCCAGAGTACAGATACCTATTGTGTTCAAATCAACATACATAAAATGTAAAAGTGAGGAAGATTTTCATCTTAATAAAAATAATTACGAACTCTGTACAAAATATTCAACAAACAATTGTAAAATATCTGATTTAGTAACTGTATGCACGCAATCATCTAATTTATGGATCACTACTGCCACTTCAATTTCTTCTACTTTAATTAACAATAATAATACTATTAACAATTTTAATAAAGAAAAAATTGAAAAAAAAGAAGGCTGCACAATAAGTTAATAATTGATGCAAAACAAAATCAATAATATTTGTAATTATTTTTTTAAATAAAAATATATAGTGGCATTGTAATATTTTAATTAATGTAATTTGACCAAAAAATGTGAATAACGAAGCAAGCAATAAAATATAATTATTTCCAGATATAATTTACGTTGTAATTTTATATGTATTTCTCTTATTTTTTTATATTTTTTAAAATTACTGTAAAATTGATAACATTTATAAACTATGATTTTACGACAGATTTTTCAGAATTGTAAATTTTAAAAGATAAAAGATATTAATACTATGATATAATAATTATTAAGTAACTTTATCGAAAATTATTCTTTTTTTTTAATGAATTTTTTTCATAAGCTAAAATTATTTAATTATTTGTTGAATTAATGTTTTTTTTAGTACTTTGTTACATTCGAAAATGTTATATTTTGTGAAATAGAAAATATTATTATATTTTATAAAGTTTTTTATATTTGTTACCGAATTTAATCATATAGATGAAAACATGTAAATAAATTTTTACACAGTTTTATAAACAAGTAAATAAATATCAAATTTTAAAGAGACGCAAACTTTTGGATCGCAAAATGTCAGAATAAAGTATAAAAATAACATACAAAGTAATTATTGTATTTAACTTATTCTTCAGAACATATGTATACGTGTAGATGATAATGTGGCAAAGCGATAGCAAAATTTTTCGGAAATTTAACCAAAAATATTGTTACTAAATTTTTTAATCAGGTACGCTGAGACTTGCTTGCTTCTATAAAAAGTATAGTGCAATCTGAGAATAAACATTCAAATAATTCTTATATTTAATTTTAATAATTCTCTTTTAGTATTTAGTAATTTATTATATCATTCTTTACACATATTGTTATGATCTCGATGATCGTACGAAACGGTGAACATGTAAACTAGATAATTACAAATAATAAAAATAAAAAGCCTCTCATAAGATTTCTTTTCTAAACGTTTAGTTATTCAATTTGATTTATGTATATATTTATATATATATATATAGTTATATGTATTTTATATATATATATAATATGTATAATCTATATATAAAATACATAACAGAGGCTCGCACAATGTTTTACAATTCGCGATGTTTAAATTATTAGTTTTTTCCATCGTTACACAATCGGTGCCAGCCAGTTTTCTTCTCAGCGTCTGCTGTATGTCGATTCGATAATTACAAAAATTTTTATGTATCTTATACTCCTACGTCCTGTCATAACCCTATTATAATACAAGAATTCTTTTTCTCACTTCGCTTCGCCAGACATTTAATCTTACACTTTTAAGAAAAATTTACATAGAGCGAGTAACATTATGAATGAAATACAGGTATTATGTACAAATATTTATAATTATACATATATACTTTATTCCTTCGATTTTATTCGAATATGATCGTCTGAATTTTTAAATTCGCGATCCCACCTAATAATTAGATAAATCGACGAATGACATGTGTAAATGTAAATCTACTTTTTTCAAATTTTCATTGTCACGTTTGATAACATAAAAAATATATATATATATATATTTATATATATATGTATATTTACGTTCATTTTCTTTTTAACGTTTGAAAAACGAAATAAAGAGATCTTTTTTCTTCTTATTTAAATTACAACATATTTCAACAAAAAATGAAGTTTAGATAGGAAAATTTTATTCACCTTTTTTCGTTCAATCTTAAAACAACTGAAATTACCATTTCATGGTATATTTTCTTACCTTTTTTTATACAGCCTATATTACAAAAAAGTCAATATTATTTCGTCATGATGTAAGATAAGGGGGAAAAAAAAGGCTTTTCATCACGCGCCGCGAGAATCACTTATTCTTAAATTATTTGTTCAAAAATTTATAGAAGCATCATATTAGAATTTCAAATAAAACAGTCATATTACTGAAATTTTTATATATTTCATGTCCTAACTAATGAATTTTTATAAAAAAAAATAAATATATAAAATAACGTTTGTTCTACTATGCCCAATCTAATGCACTCAAAATTAACATAAAATTGCTACATAAACTGTTCTATTATCACTCTTTCCATTAATCCTTATTATAAATTATTTAAAAAAGTTTTTAAATATTGGCAAAGAATTGCCTCAGAAAATGTTTTTTTTTAATTTCTTCTTATCCATCCATTTTTTAATGCTGAAAATTTAAGAAACACTGGCTTTAAGAACATTTAGGCCTTTCTAAGTTTCAAGTATAAATATACTTACACCTGTATCTATAATATATGGACAACTCGGAAGCAATAATTGATCTGTGACTCGATCGGAGCGATGTGTAGCATTTTATAGATGCTTCTCGTTATCGATGCTTTCTCAAAGTTATACAATTCACACAAATCAGATTAATACATGTTAATATAATAAGATAATAATAAGATTGAGGAGATGATTCAACACGACACGCTTAGTTTGCCCGAAGAAATAAAATTGCGTACTAATATCTCTTGCTTTAAAGTTAGGTTAGAATTTGAACGAACTGTTAGAAATTCCCGAGCTAAAACCGATTTAAAGCAGAAGAAATTCTTAAATTTTTTTTACATGATAGATTTGGGCCGGAATATGCTATTATCATCACATTATATGTGATACCTTACCAACATTATCTTGACAAAATAAGATTACTCGATAATAAAACAAAAGAGAGACGATAATATAGCCATGTAATTGCAATATGCAATTATATAAGCAAAATCATAAATTCCTAACAAATACATTTCATAAAAAGATTTTTTTTACATTCTAGGTTT